CACCGAAATAGAACAAAAAAAGAAAGAAAAAACACAACACAGAACACAACACTGGGATTGGATCACATGTTGCTTTATTGAAAGGCTAGGAAGACTGTAGCAGCTCATTTTATCCTGAATGTACTTTGTCCTTTTTGCAATAACAAACGCTCATAATTCTTCGTCCGTTTCGCAGATAAGAAAGCCATTTGGAATCAGCATTATTTTTGCTCCTCTAATATGGTATATTAGGTGGTCTCGTGATTAATGCGCGTTTTTCTAATCTTTTTTTGAGAGAGATGATTTTCAAAAAAGAAACATTTTTCTTTATAATTCTCTATAGTATCAGAAAGCCCGATTTCTCTAGTTTTTAAAATGTGCTTTCGTTTTCGCAAATCTTTGTTGTTGTCGAAGTTCCATGCCTTCAAAGACAAGTGATTAAATTTTGAAATTCTTTCCCTTCACTCTCCTTGCTCTAAATCCGTGAAAAGTAGACGGATTTTTTCAAAAAATATGCGTAATGATCGCGAAGCTTTGTGCTACAAAACGCTTGTCAGTATGAGATTTTAGAAAAATTCCGAGCAGAGAAATCTTGTCTCAAACTTGGCTGGTAGCTGAGGCCCATCTAAGCCGCATAAAAATCTCAAGCGAAAAGCGACTGTATAAATTACGCTATGTACACGTAGAGTAGACCTTGTACAACTAATGCGGCAGAAAAACGGAAAACGGCAGCATTTCATCGTTTTTTTAAAGCGAAAAAATTTGAAAATCTCGAAAAAGCTGTTTGTTGGATATTTCGAATTATTGAAAAAATGGGTATTTCCAGTTTTTTTTGCAAAATTTTCTCACAGAAATATGCGGTAAAATTCGAACTTCGCTCCATTGCACAACCGACCATCGGCTATATAATGAGCAAAGTCCGAGCGATCCTAGTACATTTAAGCGAAAGTTAAGCTCTGAAAGTGTAGGTTTCTAAAAAATGTTCGGGAATTTCTAAGGCTATAAAATCTTTCTTAAAGTGGCTGCGATCCAACAAAAGCATGCGTTCTATAGTCAAAGGTTTGTTGTTTGCAGTGATTTTTATTGCGCTTAGAAAAATGGTTTTGAAAAAGAGTTAACTTGATTAGAAGTTGAAATTCATAAAACGTGTATTAATTCATTAACGTGCATGAGACAACCTAATATATCCCATCCAAAAAGGCACTTCAACTAAACACTTCCCTTGTCAGTTCATCTATCGCAAGGATGATTCATACTATTCAATACCTATCCTCTTAGCAGACTGATCTCTCCAAAATTCACCAACCATGTATCGAAAAGAATCCGAGAATCATGTTGAATCAATCATGTGTTATAGATATTCTTCAAACTTAACGTCAAAGTGCGATATCCTAGGTCAGAAATCTGCTGATATAAGAACAACGCACAAAACTCCGCATGCGCGCATCTCTCAACCTATAAAGTCAATGTCTATATGTCTGTCTGCTTGAGCGACGTCTGCTCGTATGAATTGCAGATAGCGTCATTTCTATTTGCAGCAGCAAATGATCCTGATTAAACTTGCATATTGTCACAAGCTACTTTTCTGATCTATATAGATTTATCCTAATCTCACCACTACATGCACCACTGTGCCTCAGAGCTGCTTGTTTGCGAAATAGTCGCCCTCCAGTCCAATGCTTTTGAATAAAAGTGGCTTGATAAAGGGTCCTTTAGTCGCGACTTGGTGTGTTCAGGCTGGTCGAGTTTAGAAAAAGAAACAGGTGCGTGTAGTACTCGTGGGAATAGAGTACTAGCTGGTGCCTGAGATTCGATAAATGAGAAATTGGCTATGCGTTGCTCGCAACAATCGTCAGTCGCCGACTGCCGCCCAGGGAGCGCACAATACATGACTACTACAGGGTGGAGCAAAAATCTGGGAGCCGAGTGTGCAGTGTTGTAAATCAAAGCTACTATAATTTGGATCCCAAATTTGTACCACATAATACAGCAATAATCCTCTACAAACCACACTTTACATAGCTGAAAATGCTTGCCATATGTATTTGTAAGAATTGATTTTATCAAGCAAGTGCTTCTAAAGAGCGAAAAAATCGAAATTTATGGTATTCACAAATTATTTCGTAGCTAAAAATGCTGTGAACATTCTTAAGTAATTTGGTGCATACAATGTAGGGGAGGCTTTGCGCTATCACATCGTAGTAGTTGCGTTTACCAGAAGCTATTCTTTCGGAAGCGCAAAATAAAAATTTGCAAATATTACCTGCGTGCCAGTGGCCATTTGTCTCTTAATTAAAATTTTAAAGCTATAGGAGCGTGCAATTGCCGAGTACTAGGCTATATTCTTTCCATAAATCTTCTATATAAGCATTCATTTGAGTTTGATCGATGGAGCAATTTCAATATTTTTAGATTGTAATTTTTCTCTCCCGTTCGCGCAATCGCATCCAAATTTCCAGTATGCGAGTACACTTGCCTTCACTCAAAATTCGTTGTAGCCAAAAGCTTGCTCTATCATACTGCACATTTGCCTAATGAAAGAAACAGTTATCATGAAGGCATGGTACGAATTTCATTTCGACTGCCTGCGTGCCACGACAGACAGACTTTCCAGGATTGTGAAGGGCTGCTTTGAAACCAAAAGAGGCAATCTTAAAATTTAGCTGCGCTATATTTGTAAAGGTTTAAGTCATATGTGCACCAAATTCTGTTTCTAGGTATTTTCCCTTTGATTTTATCTAGAAAATTACCAGACTTTTGCCCTACCCTGTATAAGGTCCGACAACGACCGGCAACGCCACAGCATTGTCAAACAGATGATATTAACGCTTATCCTTCAGATTTAACGACTGCAGGGGACCGGCATGAGAAATGGGACAGGGCGAGAAATGTATGGTAGTGGGGCGGAACTGTGAGATCTCTTATGTTAGTCGGCAAGAGCTGTGATAGACGGTAAGCTTCCGTCTTTCACAGCTATTTCTATTAAAGTGTTCTGATCTTAATTTTGAAATCTTGCATATCATAGAATAAATCGATATTAGATTATCAAAAGATAATGTTCGTTGTTTGCCAGCTATCAAGCACTACGACAACATTCATAGACCCAATATTGCACCGCACTGGCGGACCGAGGAGGATGGGGCCTGGTTTCCCCCCCCCCCCCCCGAGAATGGGACGCGAAATTGTGAAATCTACTTACCATACAAAGTTGCAAGTGACTGTTTTATTCTTGTAAATAATCAAAACGATTTTTGAAAATTCCTAAAAATTTAAATTAACCTCATAAATTTTTTTGCGATGCGACTGCCGCTACGCTCCCTTTTAGTCTTCAGCGGTTATGGGCTCTCAAAATTTTGATAAGCATCCCAAAAATTATTTCAGAGTTGCTGTGTCCCTCCCCCCCCCCCCACCCTCTCGAACGGAAATCCTGGGACCACCGCCTGTGCCGACATTGTCGGCACTTCGTCATAGCCGTGTCATTTCTTGCCAGATTACCGTAAAGTCATGCCATAAGTATGACTTGCCGTGAGTACGTCAAGTTACTCTGCTCCGCCTGTCATCGTCAGCATTCTACCACTATCCCAATGCGGACAAGTCGTCTGACTCAATAGATCTGCCAGACTAGTGTATTGTCCACACACCTGCAGATATCCCTACCATGGCGACAACTACGCCCAAAGCTACGTCAACGTACTTCAGCCTAACACCGCCACTGTTGCACCCATATAATAATGCTTATCCATTACTCACAGTATAGCAGGCGGGATTTTGCGAACGTTTGCTGAACTTGGGCAAACGTCGGCAAAAGTCCGTCTGTTATACGTGGTAATGAAGGTAACATAAGTGGGTAACATAAGTTTTGAAACACTCTCACTTCTTACGTTTCTTCCACATAAGATGCCTCGCTTGGTCTGCGTCTCTTGCGACACGCTGTTGACATCAAAGCCAGAAGTTTGCCTTTCTTCCTTCCCCCCCCCCCTGGGCCTTGCCAGCATGTTCTAATATTTTGCAAACATGTTGTTTCATATAACATAGATAGATAGATTTGATTTTTTTTCCATAGATTTGCGTGCCACAGGTCATAGAAGCAGACCAACGGTAGCAGCAATTGTGGAAGGGAAATATGCACGTAATCTCTTATAGCAAGAGAATACAAAAACTGACGCTTGCTTGAAGGTTCAACAAGGTTTCAAGAGTTCAAATGTCTGCAGAGCCACTTTGGCCAAACGCATGGGAACCGCCTGCACCTTCAGTAAGCTGTGTTGAAAGAGGCGGTGTTTCCAACAGCACTGTGAGGAACGCTCACTTCTGCTGTAACAAACGTTGAGAAAATCGTTGCTAGTTTTTGCATGTGGATCAGTTCCATTACTGGATTTACAGAGATTCCAACCTTTAGACAATCCGCAAAATACTTCCGGGGAAAACTGAATTCCTAAAACTTCCGGGGGGACACTCCTACTGGAGCTGCCAGATAGGGCGCGGCCCACCCACAAGGCCTAATAGGAGCGTCCGCCCCGGGAGTAAAATTCAGTTTTTCCCTGAATTATTTTGCGGATTATCTGAGCTTTGCATTGACTGTGAGTTCCAAAAAGCATAATTCACAGCATTTTCCTTGCGAAAATACAAAGGCTCTTGCAGGCTTTGTCTGAACTTCTGACAGGTATATTTGAACTTCTGGCAGGTGTCACAAATACTGAGGTAGCTGTGATATGAGGAACGTCAAGCATGCCATTTTTTATCGAAACGTCAAAAACATGGTGTGATTCTGAGCAATTTATAATGTATTCTTTATCGTTTGTTGTACATTTTACGCACCTACATTATCGCACGTAAGACCAAGAACAGGATCGTTTTCAATCTTTGCTAATCTAAACTACAAACAGGTTAACAACCAATCTGTGTAAATAGCAGCACTAACATTTGTTGGAATTCATTAGGGAGTGTCATTGATCACCTCTTACTCGGATTTCTACCTGGTTCATATTTTGAATAATTCTGATTTTGATATATTGTATTTATAGATGAAAGAATCTCTTGAACGAGTAAATATTGTTTTGAATCCAGACGTCAAGTATTGGGCACAATTACTTCCTTGGGTAAGTGTTATTTACGGGAAATTTCACATAGCAACTTGCTGTCTATTCAGCAACAATTTCTTCAGTCCTTGTGCTGTTGTCGATTTAGCGGAGTTTTTTAGTTATTGGGATAAAATTTCAGTTTGATACAGATATCATTCAAAATCTCACTGCGTTCAGTTTTTAATTGCTTGAGGTTCATCTCTCAAAAACAACCATGTTTTTAGGGCCACATTTGGCGAACGTTCTGCTATACGAAATTGCTTTTTCAAATTTTAGCACTATGCGAGAAACCATCTGCTTGCGCAAAATTCTGCTATTGGGGCATTTGAATTCATACATTCACTGCATAACTACTGTGCAACTTTTCTGCAACTGTGCTATGGAACTTACCAAACGATCTATACCCTCTTTATGGTAATGTCAAATTCTATTTTAAGGTCCTCTTCAATCATCGTTTGATGCGCATTTGATGAATAGAAAAGGCATAAAGCGAGCCTATAAGCAGCATATCGAAAGTCTTCACCAAATTTCGTGCAGAAGGTCTTACATAACACTGCGAAAAGGCCATTACTGGGTGGTCTAAATGATGATAGGACGAAAACGCATTGAGGGCAGCGTGCGGGCAAATCTGGGCCTACGGAGATTTTACGTGAAAGTAACTTTGAGGCCCTAACTAAGGCACTGCCAAGCAGTAGCGCAGGTAACTCACTCCAAACTGGAGGCGTATATCTCAGCCGTTAGTGGGGCAGAGGACTACATGTCGCGGAAATCAGGCGGCCCCCGCGGGCTGCAACAAATACGCACCCGCTCACATGCATAAAGGTGCCTTTTTGCAGGGAGTCCGCGCGCGACCTTCCTACATTCGGCGACATATCCCTATCCCCGTTAGTGAGTCAGTTTCGCGCGAGGACCCACGCGTTGCGTCATGATTCCATGCGAGATGCAATCCTGGGGGGGGGGGGGTATCTCAGCCGTTAGAGCACTATCTGAGCTGCCGGTTGGGCATTGACTTAGTTAGGGCCCCAAAATTACTATCCACGTGAGATCCCCATATGTTCAGTTTTACCTGGACGCTGCCTTTAAAAGCCTTTCCAGCTTGAAGCACTTGAATGAGAGGAGGGCTAGAGCTTGGAAAAAAACTGCAGTTGAGATTCTTTGTGACCGGACCGTAATGACTAGAATTGCGGATTCCTTCCGGTCGACTGTGACTTGTTGAATTTTCCTGTTTCTTTCGTGTTCTGTTTTTTTTTGTTATGCGACATGCTTACATACCAAACACGAATTTCAAGATCTGTTGGAGTCAGAGAGCGAATACGAAGGTAACATGTTAATGATAACACATACTGTACCGAAAATCACACTCTTCTTTCTTTAAGGGTTCACTCCTGAATAAGTGTGACTTAAAAGAGTATTTTGCGCATGCTAAGGAATTTCTTGAAGCTTACGAATAACCTTATCTATGTTGCAATATGCTGCACTGGAAGTATATATACGAGGTCCATATTCTGCTAAAAAAAACATCATGTGACTTGCCCTTATATGCGTTTTGGAGGATCTTTGGTGCACAAACATTACCGTTCACCCAATGTTCCGATATAGTGAATAGCTGACAAGAAACATCGGCTAGAGCGTTAAGTACATTTGATTGCTCATTAAAACCACGTTAATAGCTGATAAGGAAGGCATGCGCGTTTGTTGACAACCAAATAACAGAAAAAGAGGACCGAAAAGAGAGTTACAAAAAACGTGACCAAGGGAATATCAATCAAAACTCAGCTCAATTCGACGGCAATATTCACCTGAGCATTCTAAATCGTTCGAACTATCTTCTAGGAGTTTTAAAGAGCATCTTTCTTCAAAGCAAGACTTGACATGCCAAAATGCTATTTATTAAAGCGCATATGATTTGTGAGAATGAACTGTTCCAAATAGACGACCATTTGAATAAAAAGAGTTCAAATTTATCAATTTATTGAGAAAGCTCACTTATGGTATAGGCCATCCGCGCTGTGTTCGAAAGCCAACGTTGTTGTGTCCCTTGAAAGTATTAGGGTGATCCAAAAGTAATGGGGCACCTTGATTTTTTTAACATTCTTCAAAATTTCTTTCTGATTAGCTATGAGCGCCCAGCATTTTTAACGCCTTTGTATAAAGTGACCTTCGCAGGTTATCTTGACAGCACCTTGCAGCACTCACCGACATTTCTTCGAGTGGCGCTTTGAAGAAGCCAGACAGACTTTTTTGAACGCCATCAGAATTTGGGCTGCTGCACCTGATAATCCCTCGACATATAGCATACCTTTCAAAAGAGCTTTCCAAGCTCTTTCTAATGATTACTTGAATATCCAAAAATTGCCAATTATGAGTTATGTTGTAAGCCACGCAGGTTTGTTAAGTTCTTTATTTCGGTCTAACATTTCGGCAAAAATGCCTTCCTTAGAGACCTGAAAGAAAGCCTCGCAAATGTTTTTCAATCTGTATTGTCAAATCTCTCTTCTCAACTAGCTCAGTTCGATGCCCTAGGAGCAAACACGCTGAGACAATACATTGTAAGCAACGTACCAAGATCTTCACCAATCAGGCAACAACAGATGTTTGAGATCCACTGGTGGTAATAGACTAGAACTGACCGATATGGACAGCTTAAGTAGTAGCGGATATGTTATCTATAAGTGACAATATGACAGAAATGGCATCAAGTCAATTGTGATGGAGAGCTGCTCATTCTTTCCGTTTAAATTAGGTTCGCGCGAAAGAATGTATGCCGCTTCAAGCGCTTTGCGAGCAGCAATTTTCGACTCGTGACCTAGGATGATGCACTTGATAATGAAGTCATTGCCGTGATGATCTACCTTTCTGTGTTTCCCTATCGGACTTGACATGCTTTCCCGTCTTTTACTAGACAAGTGTTCATTGATTCGCACGCTGAGTTGACGACCAGTTTCCCCTATGTAGGTGGCGTGGCATTCTAGACATTTAATTTCGTAGATAACGCCAAACTTGGTACAGTCTCCCATCCTTCCGTAAGGGCAAATGACGCAATCCCTCGTAATACAGGCTGTATCGTATAAACGATTACGCACTAGCTGTCGCTTGATGTTGCTTCGGGGGATGCTTACGAGAACAACATCTTGCTCCAGCTGAGCTTGTATTATGCAGTTCTAGAAAGCGTGCTTTACCTTATCGGAGACAAACGGTAGACATAATGGGATTCTGGTACGAGCTCGGCTATCATCATTATTTGCGGTGTTTTTGAAATGTCTAGACTTTGATGAGAAGTAGCCATTGAAAGCTGCTATCTCATTTGCCAGTTCGAGGGATTCTTGTCGTTCACTCTCCCCACTGCAGACTTCTCTTGCCGTTTTATACATGTTCCGCAGCACTGCTCGTTTTACGGCCATCGGATGGGCTGACTTCGCGTGTAAGATGATATTCTTGGAGCTCTCTTTGCGATACCATTTTACTCGCATCGTACCGTTACTTAACATTAGCTGGGTGTTCAAAAACGGAAGCCAACCGTTTCGGGGAGCTTCTCTAGTAAAACTTATGTACTGTGATTGTTGATTTAAAATCTTGAAACACTCGTCCATTTCGGACTGTGTTGATGTTATAATGCAACAATCATCAATATATCGGCAGTACATAAGTGGGCATCGTAATAGCACCGGTCTTTCTATTCTGCTCATAAAGCAGATGGCTAGCGTAGGTGCTAATCTTTGGCCCATTGCCAACCCTCTTAACTGTGAATAGTATGTACCAGACCACTTGAAGATATTACAGTTGAGGCATTCCTTGATTAGAGTCATTATACGCGCTTTACTGAGCCCATACATTGAAATGGTATTACCATGTGCATCAAACAGCTCAGAGAGCGCTTGTAAAGCGTCACCGTTGGACACGTTCGTGTAGAGTGACGTCACATCGAATGACTCTATTGCACAGCTCTGGTCGAATTGAGCATGGTGCAGTCGATCAAGAAAATGTCTGGTATTCGTCAAATGGGCCGGTATTTTGTCGAGAAATTGGGTGACAATTTTACTCAAGAACCATGATATCCTATCGGTTGGTCCATTTATACAGCTAATGATCGGTCGAATCTTGTAGACCGAGGCCGATACGGAGCTCATGTCACGCTCAGAGAGCTTATGCGTCTTCACAAGGCTGTAAAATACAGGACAGCATGGATTGTCAAGTTTAAGTCTGCTGAGAAACTTTTCGTTAAGGCCAGCTTCTTTACCAAGCATCATCCATACGTGATTTAAGCGCTTGCACTGAGAAAGAAATTCTTTCTCATTCGTGCGGCGATAAATGGTCTCGTCTGAAAGATGGCGCTCGGTAATCTCGCGATCCAGTTGTTGAGACATAACAACGAACTCTCCACGTTTATCGCTAGTAGAGAGGCGGATGATCCCTCTTCCAATCAATCCTTGCAATTCTCTGAATCCAAGCCACTGCGCATGGGTCAAATTAGTTTGTTTGATGTCCTTATTTTTGTTCAAGACATTAAGTATGCCTGAACAAAGAATCCGAAATTTGACGTCTGCGGTGTAGCAAGGTTCAGGTTCTTTGTAAAAGGATGACGGGAAGGGAATAGGCGGTAGCAACCTTCTACTTGATACGTTGGCTCGCTGTACCTGCTCTTCGGATCTCAACTTCACTCGAAGCTGGTCCCTCAGATGTTGCAGGGATCCAACCACAGCTCGGTATGTGCTCGCGCTGATGTTATGAGCGGGCGCAAAGCTAGGTCCAAGAGCTAAAAGCTCTGTAGCGCTTTTTGATATCCGAACATCTCCTAACACAGTAACTCTAGCCTTTCTATCATTGTCAGTTTCATTCTGAGTCGCAAGCGATTGGGATCGGTTATGAGGTATGCCACCGCAAGTATTAGGACTCAGACTAGGTTTACTCACAAGTTCCTCGAACTTCTTGCATAGTGAAGATTTGAGGTTAGACCGTACAGCAGCGCAAACACGCTTTGACTCGCTCTCAATTCTCCTCCAGCTGTTTTCAGACATGAGACTTTGGCATGCTTCTTCTTTTGCTCTACACTTGAGTAGAGAGGAGTATAAGACGTATTGCTTTTGCTTGATTGCAATAGCAAGGATGTTCGAATACAGCTTCTGTACGATGGGTGACTTTCTGGTAAGCTGCGGTTACTCCTAACTTCTTCTTCACGATAAAATTGGGTAGCACTCCAGACGTCTTGCATCGCTTGAGAAATATGAGAGATTGACCTGCGACGGCTATCTTTTGTCGGAGCGCCAAAGCTCCGCTTACAAGTGAGAACAGATTTGGCGGTACTTCTTGTAATATTCTATACGTTCTCTGATCATGAAACCTGGGCATTGTTTGAATTCATGAGTTATGTTGTAAGCCACGCAGGTTTGTTAAGTTCTTCATTTCGGTCTAACGTTTGGCAAAAATGCCTTCCTCAGAGAACTGAAAGAAAGCCTCGCAAATGTTTTTCAATCTGTATTGTCAAATCTCTCTTCTCAACTAGCTCAGTTCGATGCCCTAGGAGCAAACACGCTGAGACAATACATTGTAAGCAGCGTACCAAGACCAATCAGGCAATCAGGCAACAACAGATGTTTGAGATCCACTGGTGGTAATAGACTAGAACTGACCGATATGGAAAGCTTAAGTAGTAGTGGATATGTTATCTATAAGTGACAATATGACAATATTGTAGTGGATATGTTATCTATAAGTGACAATATGACAATTGGTGAAGATCTTGGTACGCTGCTTACAATGTATTGTCTCAGCGTGTTTGCTCCTAGGGCATCGAACTGAGCTAGTTGAGAAGAGAGATTTGACAATCCAGATTGAAAAACATTTGCGAGGCTTTCTTTCAGGTCTCTGAGGAAGGCATTTTTGCCGAAACGTTAGACCGAAATAAAGAACTTAACAAACCTGCGTGGCTTACAACATAACTCATGAATTCAAACAATGCCCAGGTTTCATGATCAGAGAACGTATAGAAAATTGCCAATTATTTTGTACAAAAAAGGCACTTTATTCGAAAAAGTGCGGTGTTTGGCGCAGATTTTCAGACTAAAATTCATGTTTTGGACCACAATCTTTTGAAAATGAGAAAAGTTGAAGTAATTTGCATATGTATGGATAGAGCGTAAAAAGCACTATCAGAAAGCAACTGCTAAGTTTGGACTTATTTGATTACCTTGATGAAAGAATAAGTAATATGTCTCCTGATACCCAATGCTATATCTTCTGTTCTAAAGCCTTGGGACCACCGAGCTAATGTGAATTTGGTGACAGTCCCCTCACCCATTGTGCGCACATATCTTTGGTGGGCTCACTTGTTTTACTGCGGCGCTGCTGCTCAAAGTTCAAAATTACTTGAAGTGATGAGCTTTAATTTTAAGCGCTTATAGAATTAACGCCATGTGACAGTGCACAACTACAGACCTCGATCAGAAGGTTTTGCATTGTACTAACATCTGCCAAAACTTGGACTTCCAATTAGCTTTTCTACTTGAGAAAACTGAACTTGTTTTCTAGCTGCCCCATTACTTTTGGATCACCCTAATAATTCTTGACTGGGAAAGGTGCAGAAAAAAAGCGGTAAGGGCGCAAAGGAAAGTGTACCGACGCGAGTTCACCATCGCGCCCTGTGAGGACGGCGTATAGCCATGTCATGTTTAGAAACATGCAACTTTTGGATAAATACTCTGCTAATTAGTTTCTATGCTGTATGTCAGAGACTTTCTTGACTTATTTTCCAAACTTTTCTAACACCTCGTAAATGCGGAAAATACTGCGACAGGGAGCTTTAACAATATGACTATGTGCTGGCAAGTAAGTCCCGGTGGTCACGGTTTCTGTATCACGAGCAACTACACAGCACGATTAGACTCATAGTTTCCAAAAAAATCCTACTGTTTTATTAAAGATCAGACTGTGTTTTCCACTAGCAGTGGAAAAACGTTATCTGATTAATTCTACCCCTTTTACCCTGCTTATTAAGTTAACACACAAAAAATCTGTGCTACAGTTATCTCATAAGCATTTTTGAATAGTACGAAACCACCTTGAACTCTGAATTTCCATACTCGGCTCCACTCTATAGACTAACGATAAGTAATCCAAGATTTCAATGATTTATACCTCAGTAGCAGAATCTACTTTACTCCAGATAGCAAAGACGGATGGCTGGATGTTCAACGTTGAGGACTATTCTTCCTGGGCAAGCACCTTTGAGAAATTTTGGTGGTACTTTGCCATTGATAAAGGTACATATGAACTTAACATAGCTCAAGATCTCAGATCAAATTCATTAGAAACTGACGAGCCTGTTGGAAGCGTTACACTTTCCTTCGAACGTGGTACAGCAGCGAATGGGGAAGAAGATGTCTATTGCGTAATCTTGTAAAACTGTTACTCGCTATATGTGGCCTATTTTCTTGTTGCAGGTTGGCATATACTATGTACGCGAGGGATGGAGAGGTACAGGAATTGGTACCGTTTTGTTCAACAAGGTCATGGCAATTGCTGGAGAGAACAATAAGGTTTTACATGGAGGTAATGGAAAGATTATGCAATTTTACAATATTTGCAAAATAATGTTGCCACCAAAATTGTAGCTAAAGGAATACGACCAGGGTCGGTAGTAATCTGGTTGAAACTCCGAGTTTGAAGCTCCGCGTTAACTCAGAGATAACTCTGAGTTCCGTTTTTGAAACTCTGAGTTACGCTTATTGAAACTCTGAGTTCCGTTTTCGTAATTCCGAATTCCAACTCTCAAGCTCGGAGTTTTGCTTTGAGGAGCTGTTAAGCACTTTGCTGCAAAAGCGACGTTAAAGTAGGGACTCGAACCTGTACGGTCTGGCGTAAAGATCCTATCACTAAACCGCTAGACCATGACACACCCATGAACCTTAAAATTGCTTTGCCATAATGTACTCACTCATTCCATTAACACTTAGCATGTCAAAACAAGTTATACCAAAGCCTCACTCATTTCCATTTCTATCGGGCAGTGATGGTTTTTCACGAGGATTGGTCTTTTGCGCAGCTGAAAGCTACAAACAATAGAGAAAGCGGATGGCATACGCAATGATAAGAATTGACTATTAGGATTTGCGCACAGAATAAATCCTCCGGGCAAAGTTTGCCCTTCCATGATTTCGTCTTACTTACCGTATACCTACCGTAATTGTTCCATATGTCACCAGTGTATGTAGCAGATAGATTGTCCGTAATCTGCATCCCGACTAACTCCAGTGCACCAAATTTCGGCTAATTCCGCCGCTTTAATTCATCTACCGTAAACCTACCGTAACCTCATCAGATGACACTGCAGTATAATATACATGTCATATTCGTTATCGGCGCCCCGAATAACCCCAGTGTACCAAGTTTCGATCAGTTTCGTGATTTTCTCCTATCTACCGTAAACCTACCGTAATCTCGTCAGATGACACCACAGTATGATCTGCATGTCATATTCGTTATCGGCGCCCCGAATAACCCCAGTGTACCAAGTTTCGATCAGTTTCGTGATTTTCTCCTATCTACCGTAAACCTACCGTAACACATCTACATGACCCCATAGTGAAAAATGGGAACCATATGCGTGACCAGCGCACCGAATAACCCCCTGGGCCAAGTTTTTCACCGTTTTTTCACCAAATCACTGCGCACCACGATACCCCTATCATGTCTGCTTAAATTACGAGCAAAATGTACCCCGGAGGACTTTTTAGCTGCCCCTCATCTTTTGCGCGCTATTTCTCTTTCTCTGACCAAACTCAGAGTTATCTCTGAGTTACACGATAGACTGTAACGCGCATCAAACTCAGAGTTATCGCAGACACTAGTTGCGCGTTTGGTGGCGCTGTTTCTTGTGCAGGACGATTTGGACAATGTTGCACTACTAGGAATAAATTACGTGTTAAGGAGAATCCTATGCCATATCATCGCTTTCCGGATTTGATTTGTTCAAACACTGTTAAAGGGGTTAAAAAGTTGCGCGTTAGCTCAGAGATAACTCAGAGTTTACTCTGAGTTATAACTCTGAGTTTCGATAGGTTTACTACCGACCCAGGTTTTTGCAATAATTCTTTTGCTGCCGCCGCAGTGTTTGTATGAAAAAATGTTTGGGGAAAATTGACGTCCTGATGTCCACGTGAATCATAAGTTACTTGAAGTTTTGAACGAAAATTCAGAAACGTATCACTTGAGCCCAGAGATTCTCAAACCTAGTAGTTGATCAGCATGTAATATACGCACAGAAACATTTATTATATGCAATGGCTGTATTTTTTGTAATTGACATGCTTTCATTTGCCGGGTAAAAGCCCTCGAGTGTTTGTGATCAATCGTGGAAAGCTAGGCTTGCTCTACTCCGCACTAAAATTTAGCCATTATGGAACGCGTGCTTCAGAAGGTTTGAGACAATCTGACGTCGGGTACCTGTCTGCCACGGTGCAAGCGTTCCGCAAACGTCTGAGGGTTGCGCCAAATCGCCCCGCATATGCGGGGTACGCAACGTACGCAGCGTACGCGTCATATCTTTATGCACATAAACGTATCGTTTGTTCCTCAACAAGATTCCCATAGTGCCGCGTCATCTCGCTGCCTTTCGCTCGTTTGAACGTGTTAACTCGGGAAGTTCCGTTGAAATCTCAGGAGAAACGTGTCAAAAAGAGCGAAAGGCAGCGTCGCACCACGTACGTACGCTCGTTCACATGGGCTTTTCTGGGGAACACAGGATACAGTGTTTTCAACCCACTTTAGAAGGAATTTGGGTTGGCGGGCCTCCGCTTCGCAACGATTCGCGCCGTTTCGCAGCTACTATAGTAGATCGTGGTAAGAACCTATATCTGTGTCTCTTCATTCCTTTTAGTCTTTGCTTGGCAAAATGCCGCTCAATGCGCTAGCAAGGCTCTAAGCGATGCGGGCGCGTTGCCTTCCGTAAATGTCGCGCCTACTCCGGATTGTAACATACTGTATGCCGTACTTCGCATACGCCGCGTACGCTGCGCAGTCTGGCCCAACCCTGAGGACCTGGCAAGTCAAAAGAGTTGATTCTCCACAAATTACATGCCAGATTTTGTGCGACTATGTTGCTTCGTAAGTTTCAGCTGAAGAACTAAGCTTAAAGACTTTTAGGAAGCCCTATATACCCACGAGTTTGTCTTTGAATTAATCAATCCCTTCCTATATTTTTCTTGAACTAGGAACAGAGCATCAAGTTGAAAACAACTTTTATCGTCACTGTCTTCATCAGATTTACAGGCGACGGGTGTCGTATCATCTCAAGGGCAGATAGCATCTCCGAGTTTTCAGTAATGTGTAAGTGAGTAAAAAAATATTGCAGTTATTGAGATGGCTCCTCGATATGCGGCTAAATACGGATTTAATAAGATGCCCAATTATACCCATGACAATGCTTTGGTGCCAACCAAGAACATCATTATGCCGAAACCCGATCCGCAATATACAATCAAGGTACTACAGCTGTGTGTAGCATACTCTCATTTCACTGATTCTTCGAACCAGGATTTGAAAGACGTGGATGAAGCTAAAGTTATCGCTTACGATGCTGCTATTAGCCGACGTAACCGAGGAAAATTTCTTCTCAAGTTTATGACAGCTGGAGAATGCTATCCAAAGGTATGAAACTCTAAATTTAACTTGTTTGTTGTTGTTGTAACTTGTTTCATACGACTCGCAACAACTTCGAAAAGATCGGTATTCTTTTTTACAAAACTCATTAATCATATTTTGCTACAAACTTTCAGGTGGCACTAGATAGTGCTGGAAACGTGGTTGGGCTATGTTCTATTCGTAATGTACCGCTTTGCGATAATACTTTATCTATCGGACCATTTTTTACCGACAATGAGGTTGAATTTTTACAACCAGTTCATGCTAATTAGATTCGTAAACTAAGATGCTATTCAATTATTACAGGCGATTGCCAGGACTTTATTGGCCGAAACTTTAGAGTCCATACCAGATATCGAGAAGTTCAGCAAACTTGATTGCCTTGTTCCAGCATTCAATACGAAGGCCATAGAGTATGTGAACGATATTGACGCTGTGCAATTTGGCGAAAGATTCCATAATTACAGCTTTTTCAAAGCAATTGGTGGAGAGCATACGAAGTTTGAACAGTTCACACAGTGTGCCTTTACAAACAAACTGCTTCCAACAGGCGATGAAAGAGTCTTTGGAGTTTTAGAATGTTCTAGTAGTTTTATTTGAAAATAAATCAAATATTCATTGAATTACGAAAACCTTCAAGTTTTTTTTTTATCAAAAGACCAAGTGTTAACTGCTCTCCGGAATGTTTGATTGCCATGGTCTATCGGTACGAATATTTCTGTCAGGAACAATAAAATAAACAGACATACCAAAAAGACGCTCATCCTCAAGAACAAAAACGTCTGGGTGATAGTTAATTACATCGCAATGGCAATATCTTATATATAAAGCTGAATGTCTGTATGTATGTTTGTATGTATGTGTATGTATGTATGTCTGTAAGTATGTGCGGAATAGAAATTTTTGTTTTACCGATTTGGACCAAACTTGGCACACATATACTTCGGGACTGGGAGCGCGTCATAGGCTACTTTTCGTTATCGATCAATATCGATTTTACCGATTTTTTGCAAAGTTTGAGCTACGGGGCTGGAATTTGGCACAGGGGGGGGGTAATCGAGCATGTTGATTACAAAACAAAGAAATAAGTCTACAAGAAAGAATATTTCAAATTCGTAATTTACATAAAAGTGATTTGAGCCGTACGAAACTAGTACGAAACTTAGCACAACAGTGGTGATTTTATTGTGCATAAAAAGGAAGGCATCCTCTTGTGAAACATGCATTTTCCTTATAGGGCAAATTTGCTAAAATAAGCTGCAGTTCATATGCACGAGGTAAGTACCAGACCGTGGGTGAGTGTTTCAAGCTTACAAAGTTTAGTCGATGGCTTTATTGCTCGTGGAAATCATCGCATTATTTGGTACAACATTCCCATCTGAGATGGACCCCTATCACGCCAACTGCTGTTGCTCGTTTAGATATCAATTTTGCATCACATCATGTCCATATTTTACGAAGAAGAAGTCTTCAGAAGCTTGAGTTAAGGGTCCGTGAGCGGACAACTTCAAACTTATAAAAAAAACGTGTGCAGCAGCTTGCTCGGGTTCAACACCGATTGGATGATATATGGTCCATCTTTTAGATCGCTCCGCTGACGTATGACAAAATGAAACTGCTTTCCATACTCGCGTAAACAAGGGTTTTCTTCGGCAGTTTCTGGTAAGAAAAGCGGTGTTTTTGATGACCAGTAATTTCGTGAAAATGGAGTCATAGCTAACCTTTTGAGCAGAGGTCCCACGCTTTATAGTTGTTTCTGACTGGTTCAACACACGCACATTTTGCTTCATTGGTAGGTGCAAGACAGAGCTTCGATCGAAAATCAAGCCTAATAAATGGGTGAAAGAGCACAACTTAGAGCCGCCATCCTCAATGATTTAGAGGTTATGCATGCAAATATAATCGATTTCAGTCATTAGGGACGCGTAGATTTCTCCAAGAGACGAAGGTTGTAACTCCACTGGTGAATACGACAAAAGTAGATAGGTTCCGCTGATTTCAATAGCACAGTTAAAAGTAAAAACGGGACTACGCTTTGCACAAAGCAGTTAACCGTAGTATTGAGGATCAAGAGTATGCTCCAATGGAACTTGCAGAAACAAAGAAAAAATGATTGGGAAGACCCGCGCAAGTTCAAAGAAGAAGATTCGAGTTATAGCACCTCTAATAACTTTCACCATCATTAGCTCAATGACAACTTCAGCATCAGCTCACTCCAGAGTGCTTGATTACCGAGCTAGAATGCCGTATAAGTTAGCTGTTTTTGTTAGGACTGCTTGCAACGGAAATCTCCGTCATAAACGACTTTAAACAGCAGACAGCAGTCAACACCGGAGATTAGGCGTCAATTTGAGTCAAGTCTCAAGTATGGTGCATGTACGGACATTGGTACGCCTAATTTCCGGGCTACGGTAGCTGGTGCTTCTTGTGTTCTATAATGATAATGCAAAAGTTGCAGTTTCCTAACCTGGTCTGGAAAGGTGCAGATGTAATCACGACTTATCAAAACCTGTGACTGCTGCAGAATACAATATTATTCACGTAGGTAAACAAACATGCTGTGATATCGTACGAGATGAGATATCTTAAGAAATACCAGTGACCTCGATAGCCCTCTTGCTCCAATATCTTCTAAAATCCCTAAGCGCCACTATTAGAGCTGGGCTCAACGTTCACACAATTGCAACTCGCTCTTCAGGACCACCAGGACGAATGGACTTTGAAGGCACGGCTACCCGATTGTTCCGGAGCCCTTTCATGTCCCTAATTCCGAATACAAAGTCGAGATTCGCAAAAACCCCGACAATCCGGTTCTAAAAAACCGCGTGGCTGCCACAGCTTTGAAGGGGGTGTGCCACACCCCATCAACTATGTCATAAAAACATTTTTAGCGAACCATAATATGGATCGTTAGACCTCCTGGTTTTCACAGGAGTGATTTGGGCCTGATTCGTTTTCTTTGCTCTGAGTAATAGTTGGTGAAAGCACAGCCATCAAAAGCGAAAAATGGGAAAAATGAGATTTTGGTTGGGTTGTAATTCCACAGTTTGGAGGTCTTTTGAAGCGGGATTTCTGAGATGGACAAAGAAGGAGTAGTGCTTTGTCTTGAGTGCAAAAACGGAGAGCTAATTCACCTTTGTAACCATGTTGGAATATGACCATTTCACTTAGGTAACCTAGTATCTTGAATCTTCAGAATTCGCTCAAACTTTGTCTACAGGGGTTAATTGACATGGTAATCTTATATATAAAGCTGAATGTCTGTTTGTCTGTCTGTCTGTATGTCTGTCTGTATGTGTGTACGTATGTTCCGAATAGAAAATTCCATTTCTGAACCGATCCGGACCAAACTTGGCACACATACCCTTCGGGGCCGGGCGGGTGTCATAGGCTACTTTTCGTCATCGATCGATATCGATTTTATCGATTTTTATCGATTTTTTTGCTGAGTTCACCTGCGGGGCTGGGAGTTGGCACAGGGGGGTAATCGAGCATGCAGATTCCGAATACAATATTGGTTTTCGGGATTATTGATTACTTTTATCGATTTTATCGATTTTTTTTGCAAAGTTTGAGCTAGGGGGCTGGGAGTTGGCACAGGGGGGGTAATCGAGCATGCTGATCATCCCCAAGGGGGGTAGTAATGGACGATCTTGAAAACTAATATTGTGTTCGTAATCAGCATGCTCGATTACCCCCCTGTGCAAAATTCCAGCCTCGCATGTCAAAATTTACAAAAAATCGACAAAATCAATAAAAGTAATCGATAATTCTGAAAACTAATATTGCATTCGGAATCCCCATGCTCACTTCCCCCCCTGTGCCAACTCCTAGCCCTGTAGGTGAACTCTGCAAAAAATTGATAAAAATCGGTAAAATCGACATCGATCGATAACGAAAAGTGGACTGTGACACCCGCCGGGGCCCGAAGTGTATGTGTGCCAAGTTTGGTCCGGATACGGCGGAGCCGGGTAAGCCAGCTAGTTATGGATATGATACGAATATCACTATTATCAGATTGCCCAACTACGATCCCCTCCCCCTTTCGACTCCTCAATACCACCCCCCAGGTGTGGCGTGCCACACCCCACGCTTGACCCTGGTCATATTACTTCTTCTTGTGAACATGCCTCGTTTCTATTTGCAAGTTTCAAATTGCTGCGCTTGCAGAGGGCATATTGGAGCAGGAGATTGTTGTTTTGCAGAGTAAAGGGGATCGGAACGGGGGCAATTGCGGAGAGGGTTAGATAGTTGGGGAGGAGGAGGGGGGGGGGGGGGGTGGTGATAACAATGTTACAATAGCGATTAGATCAACTTGGTTTCGAAAGGGGATATGAAAATAGTTGAAGTGATGGGCGTGGGTATGACCAGTCCTTTACAGTTTTTTGACATTATTTTTATGGATATAAGGTTTTAGTCTTAGCTTTTCTATCACTAAGGATATTCATGCTCCAATCCGCAAAAAAGATAACGTTTGCTTCTTACCTCCAAAACGATGTCGAGCCTGTCCAATAAGTTATTTGTATCCAAGAGACATGGGAAAGTAAATCTAGGAAAATCTCGGAAGTGGGTAGTGGAAGTGACCCGCTACGGATGAGGGGGGAAGGAAGAAAGCAAGAGAACGGCTCCATAAGAGACTCCTGATAATCTAAAACTATATCGAGCCGAAATCTCAAATCAGCTTAACATGAACATTTTATCTAGGGATGGGAAAAAAACGAAAAGCTTACGCGACTTCAATCCATTCCATTTTTGTGGAATAGTAATGAGATTTTTAGAGAGTGTAGCACATTGCTTCCCTTCTTACTACCCGTCCTTTATTTTTCAAGGTCGGGCAAGTGCGGTTTTGAAAACGTATCAAACGTCGTTGCAGTCTATGATCTGACAACAATGGCGACATTACACTCTAGGCGCTCATGCTGCGATTTGTTAAACTCAAGCTCTTTCATAGTTGGAAGTATGTCGATTACTTGAAATGCTTTGAGATGTATGAAGAGGTTGTTGTTGTTATATTAACAACCTGTTAAGGGATAGATAATCAATAATGTTACTTTTCATAGTCAGGCGCAAAGAAATCGTCTTCCGTGCCATATTACCATTGATCGGATATTCAAAACTTCTCGATTAACTGGATTACTTTCAAAGTGAGTGTGACATCTGTTCAGTCGTCAAAAGATTGAGATTAAACGGAGTTTACTGAGTAAGGAGTGTGGCAAAAATCAGCAGTTTTTCGAACAATTTTGTTCAAAAGTCCTTGTTATGAAGCACACTGAGCGCCCCAATAAAACAGCCGATTGAACGAAAAAACTATAATACAGGGTGTCCCAAAAAGTGTTAACACTGTTTGATCGTTAATAACTCCCTTGCTTTCAAGTCTTTCGCCGAGCTTTAGGTACCATTCTGTAGAGCGAGGATAAACTTAGATTTACAGTGTCGAGCGAATCATCTAACGCTCCTCATTACTGTAGAATTACGGTAGGAAATTCCAGCATGTGGAACCGTCATGAAATATGCCCTCTGACAAAATTTTTTTCAAAAAATTTGAAAAATCGTGTACTAGGGTTTTCGCGCACGCTGATTTTACTACACAGTTTTTTGCGAGTGTTTTCAGCTTTTTTGACGGTGTAATCACATTTTTGACACATGCTGGGAAGTCAGTTATTACACTTTACCTAGGATAACTTTGAAAAGAAGTATCATAATGAAATGAAAATTTCATATCCGAAATCAGCGGCTTTCATTACCATAGTATAAAAGATTTTGGCTTGTTTCGCTCTGTTCAAAAGCAGAAAGTGGGCTTTAATGCCTAAAATCTTTGTCAAATTTCCTACCGTAATTCTACAGTAACGAGGAGAGTTAGATGATTCGCTCGATGCTGTAAATATAGGTTTATCCTCGCTCTACAAAAAGTTACCTGAAGCTCGGCGAAAGACGGCGAAAACAAGGGAGTTATTAACGGTCAGTGTTAACTTGAGTCTTTATATAACCAAGGGACAAGCATATTTCAAAAATGTCAGCTTTCGATTGTTGGTTTCAACATGTAATTCTAGGAATTCAATGATATGACGAAACTATTGTTGCTAACTTTGCTGCTATTAGCCGGCGCAAGCAAAAAATCTATGAAGTTTATGACAGCTGAAGACTGCTTTCCAACGCCATGAAGAACTTGACCTAACCATAAAAAATAGCTATATAAGTGATTTTGAGCAGTTACGTTCCTAAAAAAATATTTTCTTACCCAGTGAATGTATGTGAAGCCTTGCAAATGGAAAAATCAGTAGAACTTCACCCACTCCAAGATATTTATTAGCGCTTTGTAACTGAGAAAAAATCACTAATATTCCTCTTACTTCAACATACATAACAGCACTGATCTTTGAAAATGTCTGTTATTTAGAAGCTGCTACAATTTTTAGGAGGTTGGATAGTAGCAGAAGTTGGACGTTGCTTCATTCTCATTGTATTGCTTTATGACGATGCTTTTAGTTTCGCATTTTGCATTGATAAAGAAGTCAAATCTCCACTAAAAAAAATTCCTTCCGTCTTTATGGGAAATCCAGCAACCGACTGACCAAATCCTGAGTTAATATTTACTGCAATTCTAATTGATCAGATTCTCATTAGTTGGACTTTAGCCTCGTACAATTTTCAATTCAGCAATCTGGCATTTATGTTACTTTAATTTCAATTTTCTCACAGGATTGTGAAGGAGGAGAAAATTGAGTCGTGCGCACAAGTGCTTTCACACACAAATTACTTGAAGGGGATGATTGGACATTTATTTTGGAAGGCTCTAGCTCTTCAGTCGGATTATTGTGTGAGACACATAGCTGTGGATATTTAGAAAAATTCATTAAACAAGAAAAATGTATTTGTTACAAATGGTAATGCGGCATGTGAAGATCATCAGTTACATAGTGTGCACATACAGTCTCCATTGAGGCAGGTGGCGACGGTGCAGCCCTGAAAAAAATAAATTGAATTTTGCCTCACCACGTTTTTGGATTTTCGCCTATTTTTAGAAGGGGACGCGGTATCTGTATTCCTTAGCCATTTTCCTATCTAACAGAAATTTTCTCAGCAACCATTTGTGTGCCTCGTCATTCATTATCTGACTCACTTATTTTTTTTGCCAAGGCAAAAAAAGTCGAATTCATTATTTTCTCAAAAAAAGAGCATGCTCTTTACCACTTTACTGCTAACAGTATTATGTGTCAAACCTGCTGTAGTAGAACTAAATCTGCTGACTAGTTAATATGAAAATGATTTTGCAAGCTAATTTCATAATGACTAATTAATACGCATTTGTTTTCTGACTAAGAAAACACCTCTAGAAATTCATATGGCATTGTTGCTGATTCAATAGTCCATGCGACCAAACAAACATTTACATATAACCCCAAATTGTTTAGCATTTCCCTGAATTTTGATATTCACTCAACTTTTTTGAGTCTATTGATTCAGTACCGTTGTTGGAAACATGATGAAGTCGAATTTTATTCATTTCCCAAAAATGTTGCGAGAATTAAAATTTAGTAAACACGCATCAGCAGCGCAGTGTGGAACGTGATGAACAGCCGTTAGCCATCAGTTACACAAGCTTTATGTTTGGTGTTTGATCAATGGTCAAATATCTTTGAGCATAAAATCGAATCTCTCTTATTTGAAGATACTTTCGCATCCCATAAGCACTCTTTTACAATGCTTTAGATTCTCTAGCTTTTAGCTATCAATGTTGCCGTTTCTAGACTAAAGGAATCGTTTTCTTATCCGTTCAGCAATCAAAAATAGTTTTTTTTTCAGTTAAAAGAAAAACATTATCATAATAGACGGGAATTCAGGTATGCAAAAATCATTCAATGGCTCGAGATTTCAGTTTGCTTCAGTATGGTTTTGTAATCGAGTATTATTCACGTCCCAGTCTTTTGATTAGGATAATGCTATCTTTCGGAATTTTATACGGTAGAATTACGGTAAGAGAACAAAACAAGTCAGTGCTTACAAAGTCTTTTAGAAAAGCTATCCTATTGCAATTCCTCTCTTGAAAAATTACGATAAATCTAAGACTATAGTTGCTCCTTATTCAAGCTCTTCAATCCTTATCTCTCTGCCTTCTTCGCAAAAAAGACGACAAAAATTGTTAATTTTAAATTTCTTGTGTTTCAGGAATAGCGCTTTGGTCGTAAAATAAACATGATGAACTGATGAACTCACCCTGCATGTAATGCTCTTGCAGATGGTATCACCGAAGAAGCATGAAAAATCTGCAGATGCCAAAGAAATGAGGGCGATCACAACGATAAGTAGCAGAAGGAATTTCTCGAACATTCTGAAAATGATAGTATGGTTGATTTAATGACCGTTTTAGTAGTGAAAGAGAGAGATGCGTGCGGAGAGGAGCTAAATGTGAGTAGAAACGGGCACCATGTGTTTCTTCAAGACATTATATGAGCATCCACGTCCACACACACAGACGGCCAGCTGCCGCCCTTGGCGCACGCAGCTGGGGACAATGTGTGTGATGAGTTCAGAGACCAGCCTCAAGTTTATAAACATGTGGTTCGGGTCCACTAGCTGTTAACATAACGTAAACTATTTATTTCAATAAGCAGAAGCCTTCGGCTTCGATTTAGATTTTTGAGAAACCAAGAGGAGGGGAGGGGGATATGAAGTGCAAGGGTGCATAAGTCACCCGCTCGTTCTGTCTGAACAGCTGCAAGGATACTTGCGAAGAAATAGTGGTGTCGACGGGCTTAACTACGGATTACACTTCAATTCTGGCGCATTGTAAATAAACAAAAAAACATGTGTATAGCGTATAGTTGAGCGTTCAGAACGGAAATCATCGTACGGACTAATGGGTTGGAATATATTAGATCGTGACTAAGTTTTGTAACACGCCTCACTTTACTCTATAAAACTCTAGAAAGTTTAGTAAAGTCTAATACTTGCCACATATGAGCAATGGACAAAGGACCATTATTGAAATGATTTCCACCTTTACAGATATACATTACACTAAAATAAAGGGAATTTTGTAACGGCGCTCAAATCTCCTTCTTCTTTTTCCCTCAAGAATTCTCTCATTTTCTTTTATGCTAGTAATAATATGGAGTCAATCTGGAAGTCTTGGCTCTTTAATAACTCGAGCTGGAAATTTGCCGAAAATAATTTAGAAAAATTCCAAAAATTCAAAAACTGGGTTTTTATGTATGACATCTATACAGGGTGTCCCAAAAGTAAGTACACACTTTTCAATCGTTATTATCTCCCTTTCTAATGTGTCATTTTCCGCCATTTAAGTACCGTTCTGTAGAGGAGGCTTTAGCTTAGATTTACAGTATCGAGCGAACCACTGATCGCTCTTCATTATAGTGGGATTACTGTAGGAGATTCGACAAAGATTTTAGGCCATTGGAAGCCATAATCTTCCCCGGAACAACCAAACAAGCCAAAACTCTTATAGTGTGATAATGGAAGCCGCTGTTCACGAATATGAAATTCTCACTTTATTGTAATGTTTCTTTTCAAAGTTATTCCAGATAAACCGTAATAACCGAATTCCCAGTTCGTCAGAAATGTGATTACACCGTCAAAAAAGCAGAAAACACTCTTAAAAAGTTGTGTAGTGGAATCAGCGCGCGCGAAACCTAGACGATTTTTCAGATTTCTTGAAAAAATTCTGTCAAACGGCATATTTCACAATTTTTCCACATGCTGGAACTTCTTACCGTAATCCTACAGTAACGAAGAGTGATCAGTGATTCGCTCGATGATGCAAGTCTAAGTTTGAAGCAATCTCTACAGAATGGTATTTGACTGGCTAAGAAAGACCCATTGGGAAGAGAGATATTGACGATTGAAAAGTGTGTACTTACTTTTGGGACACTCTGTATAATAAGAAGATACGATCATCTAACCAATTTGGAGTTGAGAAAAAATCTTTCGAAAGTCAAGTGTAACAAAACTTGTTATGTTACGATTCAATAGATTGCTTTGCTTTGTAGTGCACCAAAAATTCCAAAAGAATTTATTCAAAATGCTCAAAGCAGTTTTCCCCTCCGTATGGTTTTTTTCACTATTATGACATATGTAGCATTTTATCGCATACACTAGAGCTTCTACTTCAAACGATCTCAAAACTTGATAATAAATAATTGATAACTGTAATTTTCCTTAGACTCATCTTATCAGCGCAACTTTGATTCCAAAGTGCGTGAATCCCACAACAAGCAAGAAGTGAAATTAAGAACTTTTGGGCCTTTCGAATTTTTTGGGATTAAAGGTTGCAAAAAAGCAATTTAGTTCAGCAAGTTCTGTTGCGATATGACCATGATGATTCTTGCTTTGAAAAATTCTAGAACGAGTAAGATCTAAAATTCATCGAATCTGGAAGAGATGTGGGATTTTAGGGAAAATTCGGTGCAAAACTTATGTTAGAACCTAACAGTATCTGCAGTATGCTGGCAATTCAGATTGTGTATAGTCACAAGCGTTTTATGGAGAGCTTAGAAGCTCAAAAAGTTGTTACCGAAAATAGCAGTTTCTCACTATGTGCATTTTTCACACTCACTGGTGATGAAATTTTTTAGCATTTTTGACGGAAAAGATAAGAACTTTCAACAATTCGATTTACCTAACAGTACTCCTTCCACAAGCAGTCGACCTAATGAAAGGTAGGAGATGCAGCCTTAGAAAATTGTAGCTACAGCAGAAGAAACCTACCCAGATTGTTAAAACTAACGCAATGCGTGGTATATGGTAGTTGTTTCAACACATTCTGTAGAAAGGTACTTTTCCTTTATCCGGACCCATTCTCATAATATATGTGCTTCATCCTAGACATTTTTTATAGATCTTGTGAGGATTGTCTCCTTCCCACGTGTCAAGATAAAAATTAACACGTATGTGGCCATTTGACGTATATCTTCAGAGACATTTACGGGAGGTACGAGAGCATTTATGACTCAAAAGCAGTTGAGAGTTTTTTTTATAAAAGCAAAACAATTTTAACACCAAATCCGGAAATGATACCCACGAAAGTTTATAATTGGAGAAAATGGACTTTCTTAGTCTATTTTATTCGTTCTCTGTAGAAACTCATCGAAATTTGCTCTTGCTTGCGATATCCAAATTTTTTCATCCCATCTCAGACATTCGCTGCTGACTCGCGCCGGAGATCGCCCCTTTTTAAGAGGTTCGCGGGAAGGCGCGTAGACATGCGCGAGACAATTTTTTGCCACCAGATTTTCGGGATTCTCGCGAAAGGAAATCGGGAGATGAAAACGTTGAGAAACTAGTTTGAGCAGGTTGAGCAACGCGGGTTCGAATAATTACAACACATTTTATCAGAATCAATATTGTTTCTTGAACATAGAGGTTGGCCGTACATCTTCTTTACGGTTCCGGATAAGTAATGCGTTTTTTTTTCGTATCTAATTCAGTGAAGCTGATTAATACCACCAGAGAATCTGAGTCGCCATACGCTGCTTGGTCGCAATTTGAACACAACTGCCTAGGTCGTTAGGTTCGTATCTTTCGTTTTTCGATCATTGTTATACACTGTTGATTTAGGAGTACCTTTTTGCATGTCGTCTTCGGAGAAACGTGAGGCCGAGCGTCATCACTCTGGTGAGCCATTGTACCTGGTGCATCCGGAAAAGGCACATGTCTTCTGTACGTGTTACCTTTTGACCGATGGTATGTCAAATGTATCATGGTTTCGATGCCATCTTGCGTTTCAGGGGAGATGTATCAGCCTACGCTCAATCCGGAAAGAGCTAAACTACTCTTTAAAGGTAAGATACCATGCACCTCTTCCCCAGCCTCCACTGTCAACTCTCGTATCTTTTTTTAGAAAAAGCGTGTGGTTGAGAGTTATCAAGGAAATAGAAAGGGCCAGCCCCGATTAGATTTAGCCCATCTGCAGCAATTTCAAGAATCTTATTCTAAAAAAACTCCGAAAATGGCAGCGTCACAATGTCGCGGACAATAATTCTTCAAACGCAAAAAGTATCTTTGAGTCCTATTTTGAAGCGGAAACAAGTTATCTGGACGGGTAAACATACTATTATACAGAACTCGTCAAGAACTACACACTGGTTTATGGTTGCTTCCCCAGAAAACGCAAGCTTGAGTTTTAGTTCAGTTTTTTCAAAAACAACTTCTAATTTCCTTTATCAAGCCAAATTTCTTCACACGGAAACCTATTCAAGACTTCCGAACAAAGCCATCTGGATAAAATAGATGCTCTCTGCCATCCTCTATGCATCGGACGTGTGCTGAGAGTTTCTTTTGGAAAATGGACCTTGGCAGGCTTGTAACTCGGCCGCCAGATGCTATAAGAGTCTGCAAGTAGACTCATTCGAAAGAGCGTGAGTTTCTGGACATTATGATATGCAAATGACTCAGACATTCGCAGTTAAGTCCCGCCGGAGATCCGCCCACAAAATGAGATTTCGCGAGAAAACCGGGAGTCTTGCGCGACTCCCGGTTTTGTCCCGACTTTCGGGACAATCCCGACAGTCAAAAGTGGCGGGAGATTACCGGGAGTCGCGATCATCGATTGTGACGCTATTGAGCGTCAGTATCGATTCATTCATATTTCCACACAGGCTGTTTCTTTTGTTTTCGAGTTGGTTTTCGATGCATAGGACGTAGATTGGCGCAACACCCGTTGTTTTGTGTAAATTGTGCATGCATACACACGCAATCGAACGCCAAAAAGGATGGTGGGCTAATATCCACCTGTTTCTTTCATCCTTTTCTCTCCACAGTATAGGCAGTACATAGACCTTGGATCAGTTTTTTGTGCAATCACATATGTATATACATGCAACCTTACGTCAAAAAAGAACGGTTGGCTATATTACTTTTCCTTACTGTTACTTCCATCCTTTTCTCTCCATACTTTACACTTGTGCTATCGTGTCTACCTTGCATACATTCACGGGAACTCAAGTGCTTATTTCATTAGATATACCTTTGAATTTTACATAAGCGTGTAGGCTTAATTTCAAAACTAAAGTGTTTAGCGCGCGATTTCGCAAGTCTTGGGCCATACATTTAGTCAGAAAAATGTTGTATGACTCCATAGTATGTTCGAATTGGCTGCATAGACAATCCATAGCACTACTTATTCGTTCTTACTTACGCGTTCTTTATCGTATTCAATTCTGTGAGTTCGAGTAATATCATCAGATAATGTAATAGCAGGTGAATTGCCGTGACCCCATACGCTGCTTGGCCGCAACTTGGCCGTAACATGAGCGAGTTATTCGAGAACTGGACGCAGCCATCAAGGGCACACAAAAACGACCATTTTTTGTTGA